TGGAAATGAAAATACGTTTTTCACCGCATTTCCATCCTGCAGGAAATCGACCCGCCTTAAACGGAATTAATATACAGGGCGATTCATCAAAACTCACCCCGTATTTTATTACAATTCGTATGAAGTTGGTCTTATTAGAGAAATGCGTTCTAAAAATATTTCTCGCGCGGAAAACTCTCCGGAAAGGCGGAAAATCTGACAGGAATCGCTCTAAAGTAAACCCACCCCTGCGTAAAAGACGTTCAAGCTCATTTCCAGATGGTAATTTTCGAAATTCACGCTCAATTTGATCTACTTTAACCAGGTGTATTGTACAGGGTGATTCGTTATAACTTTGCTGTTATTGTAACCGTTTAAGGTTATAATAATTTGCAAAATTTATACTGATTAGAAGAATGCTTTGTATGTGATAAATTGGTTTTTTGTTATTAAAATTGTATTAAAATACGAGGGGTTTTGAACAATCACCCTGTATATGCTTATCCAATTTAAAAAGAGAAGTTTTCCTGCAGGTAGTAAATTCAACTAAAAGCGAATTTTTATTTAATTTAAATTAAATTCAATATTGTAAGAATTTCCTCAAAATTGTTTAAATTATTGTTTACTTTATATTGTCAATAACACGAGTAGATCTATTAGTAAAGTACCTAGTACATTTAGTAATTTTTATTATTTAGGTATTTGTGTTGAATTCTTGGCGCATACCTATTAGAAAAAAAAGTACCTACTACACTTATTTTGAAAAATAATTTTTTACTTTTAACTTTGAGTAATTAGAAAAATTGTAGCAATGTTAAATACAGGATGATTCATACCTAATAATGTCCGCTCCAATTTAACCAAATATGTTCCTTTGTTGATCTAAAAAACCATAATAACTCCTTATAAACGACTAAATAATCAAAATTAAAACCCTATTAAGTTCAAAATAAATACAAATTGTAATATACAGGGCGTTCTCAATAAATTTCGACCCATTCCACCCAAACCTCCTCCTTTGTACAACTAAAAATCCATAATAACCCCATATAAACGACTAAAAATCAAAATTAAAGCCCCCATTAAATTCATAATAAATACAAATTATACAAGGCGTCCTCAATAAATTTCGACCCATTTCAACCGAATCTCTTCCTTTGTAGATATCAAAAAACCATAATAGCCCCATATAAACGACTGAATAATCAAAATTAAATCCCATATTAAGTAGAAAACAAATACACAGATGTTCCAATAATGTCTGTAAATAACGAACCTAACAGCACAGGTAGGAAGGAGAATCTCCCCTCGCAGGACTGGAGGGGGCCACAAAGTGTTATATAGCCGGGTAATGTATACCTGCCCGTGCCAGTCTCAGTTTTCTCTCGATTTTTACGCGCAAAACCAGCGGAATTGGTCGTGAATTGCCGTTAGAAAATGTCCAGTTTCACTGGATTTTAATCGGACTGATTCGTGTCATCAACGCGGGTTACACTTAGTGGGTTATCGAATTATTTGCGGGCTGTTTCAATCGGAAGTCATGACTTCGGGGGTTAACCAGACGGTTATAAAGTAAGTGGTTTACTAACCGGGCAATTTTTTATTTCGTTCGGTTTTAAATTTATTGGTCAAATATGGTTAATTGATTCGCAGATCAGCTGGTTTTAATTTATTATATTGCGGTATATTTAAATTTAGGAATTTTAAATGTATTTATACAGGTTTTGGATTTTTGCGCGTGGATTGTAAAAATTTTTGTCAACACAAGTTAAACGGGAATTTTGAACTTTTTGGGCGAGGAATTTAACTGTTGTTTTATTGTAAATTATGGTAATTTGTTGGCTTGAATATACTATATAATCTGATAATTTATAGGTGAAATATTGAAAATTTAGTTTAGTGGGTTATTGGGTTTATTGGGTTGTCATTTTTTATTTTTAGTGATTTTAAAAACATTAAAAAAGTATTAATTACTATTTCTTTACTTGTAGATTTTTTTAACAATTTCCTTTGTTTTGTTTAAATAAAAATAGTGTAATTAGGTAGGCTTTTTTTTTGATAATGAGCTATTAACCCAGAAAACAGCTAGGTATTGCATATCAAAAAAACCTAGTTTTCCTTTAAAAACGCTCATTAACAAAACAAATCAAATCGACTTAAATTATCTCGTTTTTATCATTTAAATGTTTAATTTGGTTTAAGAAACGCCATTTTGTCGTGCACAAGTAATTTTTTATGCTTGTTTAGAAACAAATATTTCCAATTTCATTGACATTTGGAATTTCCAGAAACATTTCATCTTATCAATTTTTTAACAAAATTAATAACCTCTCATTCATCACTAAAAAATTACCTTTTGCTTAGAAATTTCTATTTCATCCTCACAAAACTTCCCTAAAAGATTAGATTCAATAGAAAAAAAGGGCACTTTATCAATACAATTATCTCCTATCACGAATTTCTATTCATATTCAATCCAAACTATAACAATTCAATCAGTCCCAATCGAACAATAATCGATTTTTTACAAACAATTTCATTCACATTAATTTCGTTTATTTATAAACAATAAAATTTTTATTGCCATTTTAATGAGCCGTTCGAACGAAATTGTTCGAACAATTTGATTTTTAATTGGGCGCAAATTTGAATTGAAAAATTCGCCTATTAACCGAATAATTTTAATAAAAAAATCGTGAGCATATACAAGAATTTACTTGGATAAAGTTTACTGAAAAATTTTGTAAACAAATCACGAACTTTATTTTATTTTCACTCGATTATTACTATTTTTATGCAGGTACAAAATGTGGCCTTTATCTGTTCACTTATACGCAGGCAATTTGTATGCATGGGAAATACCGGTCATAAATTACATTCTTTTACCTTACAATATGGTAAAATAAATTTCTCAGTATTATTTATTAATTATATCAACAATATCTGCGGGAATGAAGTTTTTTTATTGATGCCTACATTTGAAGCTCCGAGTCTTTTCACAGCATGTCATCTTTTGAACTCGACTTTATCTCAAATTAAAATCCGGAATAAATTATCTACGAAAAAAACAAGTCCAATGAACTTTCGACTGACAGATTTTATTAATAATTTTGCATCTTAAATAATCGTCTATTTCCAATTTACTATCTCAACCAGTCACTCAAAATTTACATAAATAAACCTACTGGATTTGTACAATACAAGCAAAATTTGACAGTTTACCTGTCACAAAAACATACTAGATTTTTTTGCATATATACCGACTTTTTTAATGGTAATCAAGCTGTCACGTTTACCTTTTAACGAGTAAGTAAAAAACCATTTAGTTTTTCAATTTGCCCCGGTATAATGGGAACCTTCAGAAGGTAATTTAAGGTTAATTGGGATTGGGGGGAAGGAAAGCGTGAATGCCTGAGGAGATCACGTTTCTGAGAAGTGTTTGTTCCTTTGACTTCAAGCTCGTGAAATAATGTCGAATTAATTATTAATTTTGTATCAAAGGGTGCTCGGAATTAATTATTATTGATTGGGCATTTTTCTGCTCGAGAATTTCCTGAATATTCGCCCTCTTGGATATCTCTTTCAAAGGATTTGCTTCGTTTGTTGAGGAATTTTAATTTATTTTTAACAGTTTAACAGTTTATTGGTAATATTTTATTCGTTAAAATAAATATCATTTCCTATAATCGTTTAATTATTCAATAATTACTTTTACGAATTAATTTTTTCTACTCAAATTTGTGTTTACCTTACCAAATTATACCTATTAAAAACTAATTAAGCAGAAAAATAAATAATAAACACGTAAACATATTTGCAGATGAATGAGTAAAATTAATAGAATAAATTTTATTTTTATATAATCGTTGGTCATCAGTCCAAATAAAAAATAAACTATTATTAGTTAGTTGAAAGTCGATTGAAATTTTTATAAATTTTAAATTTTTTTAAACAGTCGAATTCAATTAGCGCTTTACCGTTAATTAACGACGTTTATCACGTTTAATTACGATAATGCGCCATCCATAAACACGAAATACAAAAATTTTACTTCCTGAGAATCGCGCGGATAAAAAGATAATATTATAACAATAATTTCAGGCGTGAATTTCAAACTAATTATCACGGATTTCGCAAATTCGATTAGCTCCATCAATATTTATCCTTTTAAAATTATTCCATGATGTAGAATATTCTCTATTGTTATTTTTGAATTAAATTTGTAACGGTACAATTACGTTTTACAATGTTGAAATTGGTACTTAAAAAAATATCTAATGTTCTACGAAAGGTGTGCTAAAATTATGAAAGTACCTACCTATAGATTAAAATTTTAGTTGCGATAATATTTTGAAATTTATCGTTTAGTATAAAAATCAATTAATTTTTTGCGTTTTATTTGATCATAAAATGATTATATTAACAAAAATTTTCTTGCAAAAATACGGGTGAACAAATCTCGGTTTATTATTAAAGTGTTATTGATGAATAATACAAAAATAATTATGCAATTAAAATTCGAAACACAACAATGGCATTGTCCTATAAAACACTCGGTATAACTCGACAGAATATTAATTAAAATGGTTTGTTCTTCGCAAATATTAAATTATATTGAGGTCAAAGGAAAACGCAAATGTATCCATAAAACGCTTCTTCGCAGTTTTCCAGGCAATCTGGAATAAAGATCTGGATGCACGGGTCACGCGGGAATACAAAACAACTTCCAAAGTACAATAACATGTTTGTGGGAAAGCCTGGATATAAAGGATAATACTGTAATATTGCTGGAGATTCTCTGTATATTATACACTCTAAAAGGACATTCGAAAGAATCGAAGATTAGTGGAAATAATTACAAATGTCTTCGAAACTTTCGAAAAAATAATTAAATGAGAATATTTCGAATTACGTGCAATTTGCTGTGGGTTTTTTGTCGACCTTTGCTTTCATTAATTCTTTTTAAATTATCCCTAATTTAATAGAAGCAAGTAAGTACACTAATTGAGCAGGTAAATACGAGTATTAGGAGGCAATTTCGCTTATTTATACTAAATTACATGCCTATAAAAATGCCTATTGTTCGAATTTAAAGGTATACAAAATTATTTTCAAGATCGATTTTTTATAAACTTTATGTGGATTAAATAAAGCTGATTTTAGTGCAAAAATCGGCTGGATATATTTTCAGGGCTTAAATTTAAAGATATTTCATTAAAAAACATTTTTTTTGTGTGCTAGAATGGCCATTGCGTGATCATTAATCGCGTATAAACATTGCATGTAAAGTGCAATACAATCATGCAATTTACTGCAAATTAAAATTTTCTTTTATATGCGCTTTAAAAATGCAAATGTTTATGGACGTAATTCGATATTTTACGACAAAAGAAGTTTGTTTATCGAAAATTTTCGAAATTGTGACTTTTCATCGATCATCATAAACAATTTATAATTCCAGGTGAATTATTTTTTGATGATAAAATGGCCGTATTTTGAATAACAAATCCCTTCAAGTCGGTTTCTGATTGGTTTCCAGATAAATATTGAAACTGGATATTGGAACTGGATCGAATTCCTGGATTTCTGGACAATTAACAGGATTCGATTTAACGATTTAATTAAAACCTTGCGCATTTTTCCACGTTAGTTCCGTTCGGAAGGAATAAAAAAATCAAAATATATGCAATTATTTCAAATAAAAATTACAGTTTGCGACCTTTTTTCTCCACCTAGAAAATCTAGGTGTAGGTAAATAAAAAAAAAATAAATTGCTCGTGTAGAAAACTGGTTATGAAATGAAAATTTAGAACGCACTTGAAGAGAAAATTTTAGAAACTCGGAATGTATTTTTGTGCAGCAAGATTTAATTAGAATAAAAATATCCCGTTTTACTCGCTATTTATCATCGTCATCATCATCATTCATCATTAACTCGGACACCGACCAGTCTCATTAGGTGGATTTTTGTTATTTGCGCTATTAATAGTTTTATTTTTAAAAAATAACTAACAATTTAAAATAACGAATGAGCATAGGAACATATTTTAGTTAGATAATAAAACAGAATGTTTTGTTGCTGATAATTATGTGCATATTTTTTATTGCAATTTTTCGGTTTTACTGGTTAATTATTCATAATAATAATGTTGCAAATTGTAAACAATATGACAATAATAGTCGCAATTTTACAAATATTTATTTGTTAAAATTATTTTTTTACATAAGTTATTTGGTATTTTTTTATTAAATTACTTCATAATTAATTGTAGAGAATTGTGTAAATTGTAGAGAATATTACAATAACATTTGCAATTTTACAAATATTTATTTATTAACATTTTTTGTATTTTTTTTGTTACATTACTTCAAATTATCCAATTTATTAGTAATTTAAATACTATTTTTGAAACTTTAACAAATTAATACAGTACAAATTGAAAAAAAAGATCGATAATCACCATTATTAGTAATTTTTTACATTAATTGGAATTAGGTACTTTGAAGCTATATTTAATGATAATTATTAATTAAATTAATTTCCAATTAAATGATAATTGTTTACTTACCCAAACCTGTTATCTCAACGAGTGAACTTCAAAATCGATCCCTCCATCAATGATAATCCATTACAAAAAATCGCGAAATCAAGGCGAAATAATATAATAAATAAATCGCATTCGGTATATTTAAAAGAAACTCGTAAACCATGAAAGTCTCGCGCTATTCGCAATATCTCGATTATTCTTCAATATAAACCTGGATCTCTGCAAGAAAACAGTTCAAAAATTGAGTTCTATATAGGAAATAAGTCAAAAATATGTTCAAAAACAGTCCAAACACTTTCAAAAAAGTGGATTATAAAGGGGTGTGTGTTTTAGTTGATCAGTAAGTTTGAAGATTATTTTATTAATTTAAATTGTTTATAAAATATTTGTTGAAATATGTATGTGGATATTAGACGAAAATAAATTAATTTAAATATAATCGTACTTTGTTCTTTAATAAATGTTATTGACTTAAATACTTATTTGTAATTAGTAATTGTTTTCAAAACGGCTAGATTTTTTTTAATATTGATTAATAGACTAATTTATAGCTTTTATGTTTATTATATTTACCTTCGACCGTTTAAATTTAGCATTTAATGCCCGTGTTTTCTTCGCGAATTTGCATAATTTCTTCATTTATTATTCCTTGTTTCGATTTTTGATAGTCACAAAATCAATAAGCTAATAATTCGTTAGACAAACAGGCTAATTATTAACTCATATCTTAAATATCCACTAATTCGGTGTACAAACAAAGCTCTTAATATTATTTTAAATTAATATTGTACTAATAAGTGTTACAAAAAAAGACAATTATGATAAATATGATAAATTATTATTAGATACATCTATTTAAAAACCGAAAAAAAAATTTCCGATTTATTTCCAAACTCGTTACTCTTCTTTCGCGTCGCTGATATAAAGTTTAACTACAAATATTCTTATAAAAAATTCTTTTCCAGAAATCCAACATGGTGGAAACGAAGGACAAGCATGGAAAAATGCCTCACATTATCCACGGGCATAGCTCTTCTCGTCGGAATCTCATTAGTGATAGCTCTTGCCACTGTTATATGCACTAGAAATCAAGCCAGCCGTAAGTAAATCCCTTACTATACAGCGTGTCCCATCAAAAAACCTATCTTGTTCATTTTATACATTCGAATACAAGTTATTTCGTGCGTTTATATTGCGTAAAATTCCCTTTTTACGGCGAATTGTCGGGTCATTAGCCACGCTATAAAACAAAGACCACGGCAAAATCAACTTTCTACATAGCCGATTCGTTTAATTCTCATTGCAAACCCAGCGATTTCGTTATGCAGGAAATCGAATTATTTCCAATCCTAATTGATCCTGCAAAATTAAAATGCCATTAGTATATTTAATGATATGTAATAACATGTTACTTGAGACACCCTGTATAAAATTATGCATATATATTCGCATTTTTATACTCTCCAGAACGAGCCGATTCCAACGATAGGTCACACTTGCTATTTTATTCAAAATTTAATTCAACATACATAGAATGTATATAGAATGTCCCAATAAAAGTATACAGGATGCACAATATTTATCCAAAATTCTAGATACACCTTACGCGGCGCAACCCCTGCAAGGCAAAATCGTCACCATCACATCCCCGCAGGACGATGAACCCAGGAAAGTGTGCCTGACACCGGGCTGCATCCACACCGCATCCAGAGTCCTGGAATACATGGACGAAACCGTCGATCCGTGCGACGACTTCTACCGCTTCACCTGCGGCAATTTCATCAAGAACACCAACATTCCCGATGACAAATCGTCGGTGACCTCGTTCAGCATCATCAACGACCTGCTGCTCGAGCAGCTCAGGACCATGATAGAGGAACCCATCGGGCCAAACGAGCACAAACCCTTCCAGGTACTTCCTGATTTGTTTTCCAGCCACCTGGAATTACTAATCGTCTTTCCTCCTGCAGCTGACGAAGAAGTTCTACAGGGCCTGCATGAACAAGACCCTCATAGAGGCCGACGGGATGAAGACCATCAACGACATTTTGAAGGAATTGGGCGGCTGGCCCGTTCTGGAAGGCTCCAAATGGAACGATGCAGACTTCGATTGGAAGGAATCGGTTTACAAATTCCGAAGAGTAGGCTACGGAGTCGATTATTTCATCGATTTTTCGGTTGTCAGCGATGTCAAAAATTCCACCAGGAGGGTCATAGACGTAAGTCAATTTTTCCTTCTACATATTTATCATCATCATCATCATCATTATCATCATCTCTTCCCTATTCTTAACCATCGAATATCTGTGTTACAAGGTGTATTTTTTCCTATTATCGTGTTTATTCTGTTCCAGCTAGACCAGGCTTCGTTAGGCTTGAGGCGCGAGTTCCTGATCAAAGGCTTCGAAGATAAGATAGTAAAAGCCTACTACGCTTACATGGTGGATCTGGCTGTTCTGTTCGGCGCCGTTAAGGAAAGGGCCGTTAAGGAATTGAAGGAGTCGCTGCAATTTGAAATGGAGCTGGCTAAGGTAAGGCTGCGGTGTCGTAGCCTGTAAGGCTTTGATACAAAAATTGTAATTTTTATAGATTTTTAGAGTTTTTCCAAGCCTACTTAGTGTGTGTAAACGCCTCGTTTGAGGCAGCTAGGTCTCTCGCGAAGCCTTTTGCAGCCTGAGAAGTAATTTACTGTCGTTCTAGATTTCATTGCCGAGCGAAAAACGCAGGAACATGACGGCACTTTACAATCCCATGACCATCGAGCAACTCCAAGAGAAGTTCTCCTTCATACCCTGGACGGAATACATCAACAACCTTCTAGCTCCAGACGCTAAGGTCGAACCTGGGGAATTGGTCATCGTCAACGTCCCGTCCTACATGAAATCGCTGCAGACTTTGATGGAGAAAACCCCGAAAAGGTAAACAAATCTTCGATATCTCCTAGCTTGGTCGGTGAATTTGGAGCCTTTTCCAGGGCTCAGGCTAACTACGTCATGTGGAGGGCGGCTGCCAATTCGGTATCCTACCTTAATGAGGCTCTGAGGAAAAGGCAGCTGGAATACACCTCAGTAATTACTGGAAAGACTGAAAGAGAACCCAGGTGGAAAGAGTGCATCGACATTACATCTGGAAGGTGAGCAATAATCCTGCTCTGGAACAAACGGAATGACTGATACTCCTTTGCAGTTTGTCCATTGCTTCGGGAGCTCTATACGTGAGGAAATACTTTAACGAAGATGCCAGGAAGAACGCGCAGGAGATGGTCAAGGATATTAGGCTGGAGTTCGAGGACATCCTGAAAGTTGTCGATTGGATGGACGAGGCTACCAGGAAGAACGCCTTGGATAAGGCCAAATCCATGACCACTCACATAGCCTATCCAGACGAGCTTTTGGACGACAACAAGCTCATCGAGTTCTATGATGGAGTAAGTATTTGAGAATCCATAGTATTCCTTCGAAACCTTTGAAATCCTTAATATCGTCGCTGTTTTAGCTGGAAATCGACCCGGAACAGTACATGAGATCGGTCCTGAACCTGACCCTCTTCGGCACGAGATTTTCCTTCAAAAGGCTCCGGCAGCCTGTGAACAAAACGGACTGGATCACCCACGGCCGACCGGCAGTAGTCAACGCCTACTATTCATCAATCGAAAACAGCATTCGTAAGTTATCTACCGACCTCGAAGCCTAGCCTTCTCTATAAGGCTTCAAAGACTACTCTAATCGCCCTCCCTTCCGTCCCTTCCGCAGAATTCCCCGCCGGCATCCTGCAGGGCGCCTTCTTCGACGCCGACCGGCCTCGGTACATGAACTACGGCGCCATTGGTTTCGTCATAGGCCACGAGATAACCCACGGTTTCGACGACCAAGGCAGGCAGTTCGACAAGAACGGCAACCTGGTCGACTGGTGGCAGGAAACCACCAAGACCCGCTTCGTCGAGAAGGCTCAATGCATCATTGATCAATACGGCAACTACAGCGTACCCGAACTTGCGCTCAACGTAAGTTAATAGGTTATATAGGCTATATTATATGGGTTATACTATACTACATGGGTTGTATAAGTTGTATGGGCTATATGGGTTATATAGGCTATATGGGTTATATAGGCTATATGGGTTTTATTGGCTATATGTATGGGTTATATAGGCTATATGACTTATATAGGCTATATTGGTTATATGGGTTAAATAGGCTATATAGGTTACTTTGGGGTGATTGGACAAATGGGAAAAATTTGGTGAAAATAACGTAAGGTACACTTTCATTTTGGTTGAGGCCTGAGGTTATGTAGGTTGTACAGGTTAAGTAATCAACCTATGTTATTAAGCTATATAAGTTATATAAACTATACAGGGTGTCTTTAAGTTGATGCATTTTTAACTGCGTATAGATCTTTTAATTCTAAGCAACTTTTTCAAGTAAAATTTTTTAATATTCCGGAATATAAGAGAACATGTTTTTTTTCAATTTTTAATTATTAAAAACTTACTTAATACGGCCCTGTTCATTAAGTTCAAGAAATTGCTCAAAATTGTCGCCATTTTGATTGATTGTCATTAATTATTTATTATTTTTTGACACAAGTATGGTAATGGCAAGTACACGTTGGAAAATATTCGAAATTTAAAGAAATTTTAAAAATTTCCATCTTTTTTATTTTCCAAAAAAAAGTATCAACTTATGAGGCACCCTGTATAGGCTACATAGACGTTTTTATAGGCTATAAAGAGGTTATAAAAGTTGTATATAGGCTATATACACAGATTATCTCGGGATTTGTGGACAGTCAGAGAAAAATCTGGCCATGGAGTAGTCGATATACCTACTAATAAAATAAATTGTGAGGCCTCTTTAGTGGGAGTTATTCGGTGTAAGTTATACGAGGTACCAAATTATTTGGGGTTGTTTTTGCACGGCAGAGGCGGGCGTTTATGCACGACACAATTTACACTTAATGCACCGTTCCTTCGTCACCGAATCTAGTACCAGTACTTAGTACTAGAGCATGAAAGTCCCCAAATCCACGCACAGAACTAACCAAAACCCCCTCTTCTCAAATCGGTTCCTTTCCAGCTCAACGGCATCAACACGCAGGGGGAGAACATAGCCGATAACGGCGGCATAAAGCAAGCCTATTTGGCCTACGAGAGGTGGGCGGGGCGCAACGCGGAGGAGGAAGCCCTGCCGGGGGTGAATTACACGGCCAGGCAGCTCTTCTGGCTGTCGGCGGCGAGCGTTTGGTGCTCGCAGACGAGATTGGAGGAGCTCCAGCAGATGATCGTGACGGACGAGCACGCGCCCGACAAGTTCCGCGTGAACGGGCCCCTCTCGAATATGGAGTACTTTGCTAGGGACTTTAATTGCCCCGTGGGGGCCGGCATGAATCCCACGAAGAAGTGCCAGGTTTGGTAAAATGGGACGCGACGAGTTTTTGCGAGATTTTTTATAGGAATTAAGCGAGGTTGTTCGCGCGGCAGAAAAGAGCGTTTGCACGACAAACGGGTGTTTTTGTTTATTTTTATACCGAGCGACTTTTTTGAGTATTTATTTTATTCGATAGATTAATACCAGTTGAATTAACCGATATTTCATTTAATTTGAATCGATTTTGATATGAGTCCCTTGTAATGATGTCTAGAATGATGAAAGAAATTGTTTATTTAAAGCTGTGTAGGTTATAAGTGCAAGTATTCCGCCATTTTTGGTAGTAACTGTTACTTTATAACCGGTTATTTTGTCACTAGATGAGACTAATGTTTTATTATAAAACTATCTTTAATTTAAAGTATTTATTTTTTCGTTTTTATATAATTTTGTGGGGGATATTGGTTATCTGCCATTTTCGGTGAGAACTGTTACTTTATAACCGGTTATTTTGTCACTGTATTGTATAAAAACATAATATTTGAATATCTGTAAACGATTTGTGTGTGTGTGTTTTTTATTATAAAACTTGTCTGGATTGTAACTAGATAAATACAAATTGAGATAATGTACAGGTGAGCAAATAAATAAATAAATAAATAAATAGAAATATATACTATGTGTAAAAAAACTGTAAAATTAGTGTTGAATTTACTTTGCTTTACTCTACTTATGTGCAAATTGTAAATGTTGTAATATTTTTTGCTTTAACTAACAGCATGAATTGGGTAAAGTATCTCTCCTTTCTTCTCGAGAATTCCCAAAATAATTTCTTTACTAACAAACAATTTAATGCAATTTTTACACTACTGCTTTATTCCAAACATTTATAACCAAATAATTACTAATTCTAACAAAGTAATTTGTAAATAACGCTTTAAACAACAAAAAAATAATCACCGGCTTAAAAAAAAGTCCTTCGAATTTAATTTGCATCAATTTAAACGCAGTAACTCGCGAATTTTAATTTTCGAAGCGATTTTTACGGCGTCTTAACCGACAAAAATACAGCCGAGTAACCCGAGCAATTTAACTAGCAGGATAATCGCAGGATCGAGACGGCATTTACACGAATTTTTACACCGAATTAAATTTCAGTTAAACGGGATAAACACCCAAGGAGAAAACATAGCGGACAACGGGGGAATAAAAGAGTCCTATTTAGCCTATAAAAAATGGACGAAAAAGCACGGAACGGAGCCGAGCCTGCCTGGATTGAATTACACCCCTAACCAGTTATTCTGGATATCGGCGGCGAACTCCTGGTGCTCGAAATACCGACCGGAATCCTTGAAATTGAGGATATTGACCGGGTACCACTCGCCCAGCCAGTTTAGAGTTTTAGGACCCATGAGCAACTCCGAGTACTTCAACAGGGATTTCCAGTGTCCCGAAGGATCCAACATGAACAGGGCGAAGAAATGCACTGTATGGTAATTTTAGGCGTATTTTAACAGGACTTTCGTATAGAAAAGATCCGAAATTCGACTCTATTTTTAACAGACTCGGTCCGTTTTTAAATCGACCACGATTGAAATGACAATTTGTTATGTTTATGTATGTATTCGAACGTTTTTAATTGTAGCACAATATACACATTAAATTTTATTTTTAATAAACAACAAATTTTACTCTTTTATCACGGAGGAAAACCCTCAAAACAAATCACATAGTACCATAAAAACATTACATCGCATGACTTAGGAAAAAAATACCCATCACTCGATCACTTGAAAATAGACGAAGCCAAATTCTTCAAAGAAACCTTCGTTTGATCCAAATCGATGAATTGATCCAAACCTTTCTTCTTAACTTTCAACCTAATTTCAGCGGAATCCGCGTTCTCCGACCACGAAGCGCACACTTGCACTTCGCTACCTTTACCGATGAACCCCTTCTCGTGAGCCGCCGCCAATTGATTCACTACCCTTCTCTCCACCTCGTATTTTATAGACCTGGCTCCGTAATTCACGTCGTAGCCGTCCGCCAGAGCCGATTCCACGCTCCTGTCCCAGCTGATTTCGATTTTGTGCTTGTCCCTAGCCTGCAAAAAACCCTTTCTCTATTAATATATGAGCGTTATTGGTACAAAATAACCGGTTACAAAGTAACGGGGACGCTTTAAATTATAAAAACTCTCTTCTCTATTAATATACAAGTGTTATTGATGCAAAATAACCCTTCACAAAGTAACTGAGACGCTTTAAATTGTAAAAATTCTCTATTAATATATGAGCGTTATTGGTACAAAATAACCGGTTACAAAGTAACAGGGACGCTGTAAATTATAAAAAACTCTCCTCTATTAATATACAAGTGTTATTGATACAAAAAACCCTTTACAAAGAAACTGAGACGCTTTAAATTGTAAAAATTTTCATCTCTATTAATATACGAGCGTTATTGATACAAAATAACCGGTTACAAAGTAACACGGACGCTTCAAATTGTAAAAACTCCCATCTCCACCGTTACTGTTACAAAATAACCGGTTACAAAGTAACCGGGACGCTTTATATTGTCATGTATCGTACCCTGTCGGCCCAAATTTGCATTTCCCTGGCGACTAACTGAATCAGTTCGTTCCTGGAGAAGGGCAGGAAATAGACGATTTCATTTATCCTGCCCAGGAATTCGTCTCTTTTGAAATGCCTCTTCAGTATCGGCTTGACCACTTCGTCTTTGAACTTCCTCGATATCGTTATCGTATCGCAAGTTTTCTGATCCGCTTCTGAAACAAACCGAAAACGACTCGAATAACAGAGGGACTCAACAACGCAGGCTATTTAGAGCATCTTTACCTTTCGAATCCGGAATGGAGAGCCTTTCTTTCTTGATGGTCTCCACTTCCCTTCTCAAATTCAACCCGTGACTGGCGATTTCGTCGCTAGCCAAATTCGAAGTCATTATGAATATAGCGTGCTTGCATTCGATGGTTTTTCCTTGACCATCGGTCAACCGGCCTTCGTCGAAGAGCTGCAACAGCACCGTCAACACGTCCGGGTGGGCCTTGTCGACTTCGTCGAACAAAACCACCGCGTTCGGGTATTTCTTGAGCATCTTGGTCAACTGGCCTCCTTCGTCGTGGCCTATGTAGCCAGGCGGGGCTCCGATTAACTTGGCTACTTCGTGTTTCTCCTGGTACTCGGACATGTCGAGCCTGATGAAGGCCTGCTGTTTGCCTTTGTGCATGTAATTGGCTAGCTGTTTGGCCAATTCGGTCTTTCCTATGCCGGAGGAGCCCAAAAATAGGAAGACCAGGGGATGGTCGTCGTCTGTCCAGCCGTTTTCTTTGCGTCTTACAGCTACAAAAATGAGATTAGCGTCGATTTGGCCTTGTACTTGGCAGCGAGAATGTATAATTACTTGCAGCTACTATTGCTATGGCTCCTTCTTGGCCTACGATGTGTTTCTTTAATCTCTCTTCGAGGGGAAATCTCCTTCTCTCCTCCAGTTCTTTTTCGACCTTCTTCTGCTCGTACTAAAAGAGTAAAGTTAGAGGTAAAGTATTGGCCGAAAAACGGACTTACAATATTGATTTCTTTCTCCAAATACTCCTTTATTTTTTCCTCTTTAGCGTACATGCTAGGAGTATGTCCTGCGTCACTTTCTAAAGTAGGATTAGCCCCGTTTCGAACCAGCAATTTCACCACATCCAAATTATCAGTTAACACTGCATAATGTAATGGGGTGAACCCCAGGAATGTGGCCCTGTTGTTGAGTACGTTGGAGAATTCCTCGTCTCTTATCATGAGAACTAGTAGCCAATAGAACACATCGATTAAATAAAAATTGATAACGAGTGTGATTATGGGTTACCTTCGAGAGGGTGCATGCCCTTTTCGTTAGCAGTTCTGTTAGGATTGATGTAGTTATCGCTCAGATTAGGATCGGCGCCGGATTTTAGTAGGTATTCAGCTACTTCGTATCTTCCGTTCACTGTGGCAACGAGTAATGGGGTCCAGCCGAGGTGGTGTCTTTTGTTCACATCGAAACCGTTCTGTACTAGCCTGAAATCGTGTAATTAGTTTTACTGTAGTTGCGAAATTATGGCTTACTTTTTGACTTCGTGAATTAGACCGTATAAGCAGGATTTAAAGAATCGCTTTTCTTCCAATTCGGAGTTGCTGCAGTAAACCGTGCTCAAGGCCAGGCCGATTGCAGAAGATGCTTGTAAAATTGATTTAACATTGTCATTGCTATTTCTAGTCCATTTATATTTGCTTATTAGTTGTTTTTGTAAATTATATAAAGGATACAAATGGATGTTTTTCAAACTGGTAAATCTACCGACAGGGCGAATGATCCTGAAGAAAAACATGATTTTCTCGGATATTATGAACTTGTTCGCTACATATTACACATTATGTAAAAAAATTGTAATTGCTATCGCGTATTTTTCCTATAATTTCATGTTATATTTTTAAAAAATTAAGTAAGGTTAGTTTTCTATTCTTCTTTTTTACTTGAAATATGACATACGCTCTCAAAATAATGTTTTTCAGTTAACTTTTTTTTAATTCACAGTTCGCTAATAGCTCTTGCAAACAAATAGTTTACAGTGTGTATAATAATTATTTTCCTTTTCCAAGGAAATGTTTACTTTTTCCATTTCTTGATCTTGTTCAGTTCGTTTGGCTGAATACCCAAAGGATAAATAGACCTGGCATTTCCAAAGATAAACGACAATTGACAGTAAACGTCAAACGAATTGAATTTGTTTACATAATTTTACAATATTTAAAATATTTTTCTACGCATTTTAAACACTTATCAAGCAGTAAGTATAATTCTTTAATAAAATTTCAATTTTCAAACCAATTTCTTATTTCAAGATTCGAGTGTTTGCTGACACATTTGCAATCTTTATGCTGAAAAATCCAAAGCCAGCATTTCAATCGAACAATGTCCACAGAACAAGTAAAAATGAAATCAGGAAAGTCCTACACCTGCAAAGAAAAAACCATAATACTCAATGTATTTCTGTATTTCCGGAAAATTTTTCCAGAAGACTCCATTACATATACAGTTATTCGAACTTCTGAGGCCACAGGATGCAGTGAAAAAAGCATATACAAATTCAGAAAAGAAGCAAACAGTCCAGAAGGCTTTAAAGAACCTTGCAAGAGAAAGAAGAGGCCTCTTCCTTACACAAATAGCAGGTCTATTAAATACGATGAGTCCGTTCGGGAATCCATTAGAAATATTGTAAGGAACAACGAGCCTACTATGAGTAATATACTAAAATGCGTGAATTCTGATGAGAAATTGCCTGTTTTTAAACAATCCACTTTGAGAAGACTGTTGTTCGATATGGGATTCACTTTCGACAAATCCGATAAAAAAAATATTTTAGTAGAAACCGGCGGCAAAAAGATACAAAAAAAGAAAGCGAAACCATCGAAAAGAGTTCCAAAAGAGGAAGGTTTAATCAATTTTGTGAAGTGCGAGTCAATCGAACTCGAAAATACTGTTAAAACTCCTAATAACTATGAATATGTGACACAAACTGTTATTCAGCCAGTTCTGGTTAATCCACTTTCGCATAATTCTCAAACTGTTGTTGTTCAGCCAGTTCCGAACAGTAATTCCCTTTACGGCCAGGAGCTCGTAAATTACATGCCCATGGCCGCCCTTGATTACCAACGCAAAATGCTCGAAAACCACAGCACACTAGACAGTTCAATTCGTTATACTACGAGTTCGTTTAATCACATGGACCACTGCAAAATCGAACAGTAACTTAAATTATTTTTCGATAGTTCCCAAAGACTTGTTAATAAAACCAAGCGCGTGATAAAAACTTACTTTATGAAATTACAAAACTGAAAATTCACATACAAGAAGCTTTCGTACACTTCTCGTTGAATGATTGGCTGCAGAACTATCGCTGCCTCTTTCTGTTAATCTCAATAGCCACGTTGATTAGGTCGTTTCCCAAGAAGAAATCTGTCGCTACGGTGTTACAGTCATCTCCGTGTTCTTTACCGAAGAACTTGGTGACTATTCCGTTCACCGATTGGGCCAATTTCCTTAAAGAATTAGTCCCGAAAATCACATCCAGCGGCTGAGGGGTCAATTCTGCCATAAGAGCCCACAGGGGGTTGATTGTACTGGCATGAGCGTGCTCAGTAATGGACCTTTCCATGTACTGCTTCAGCGCCGTAGAGCTCTTCGTGTTGGCCCAGTACTGAGGCATCGGGTTCCACAGCCAATAGCTGTCTACAAACATAGTATAAGTCGCAATTACTCGATTTTTGAGGTCGATATACCTTGTACAGCTCCTCTATTGCCATAGCAGATGATCAAATTCTTGTTCTTAGCCCACAGCTCGTTGAGAGTGGGGCCTTTACCCCCTCGCATATCGGTCGAAGGTACTGCGAAGGAGCCTAATTCTTCGTAAACTATCTCTATGAACTTCCTGTGCACTTCTATGGTGAAATTAGTGGGGTAAGGGAACCTGTGGAAGTCCAGGATGACGATTTCTTTGGGGGCTAGCTGCAGGAATTTCCTGATATCCTGCAGAAGCGGCCGGACTTTGGTAACACGAACCAGATCGTGGTTTACGTAGAACCTGGAAGGAGCAATAATCGAGGAAATTTCGATGAGAAGCAGGATTATTAATTACCCTTCGTTTCCATAGTAACCTATCCTGAAATCCAGGTACCGTATGCCAAACACCAGCTGTGTCCAGACGCTCCTATCCTGGCATACGATGTAGTTCTCCAGGAAGGTCGGTACTCCTTTGAAGGATCCAGAATTGTGCGTTCCAGGAATTAGAAGAGAAGCGATTCGTTGATTCCCCAATTGTTGCCTGGTAAAAATCGGGATGTTTCAACTCCAATATGGCGATAGAAGTGTTGAAAATGATAATAAAGAGGTGCAGGTTTCAAAAGAATGGCTCCTTGTAATGTAAATACCTTGGCTTTATACCTATTATCGGACATCCAAGTTGGCTGAATGCCCAAACATCTGGAGTCTATAGTGGAATTTTTGTTGACGGAAGCTATCCAGTAGGGAAAGCAGTGCAAACCTGGATCGACTTTGGGGTTTTCCTGGTCGTATTCCCAACCTCCCGGTAGCCAGGGCTCCCCGAATTTCACCGAAGTCTTGTAGTAACCGTTCGGGTAATCCGAAAATTTTATCATTATGATAACGCCGTGGTCTTCCTGGAAAACGGAGGAAAATCGGAGGGAAATTTGGAGTTTTTTCGGTCACTTACGTCCCTGTCGTTGACGTTTTTCCTGGATAGTATGATGTATTCTGGAATGGCCTCGTTTTCCGAGCATTCAGCTACCCAGTTCATTTCTAAATTCGAGTCTACCGACGATACTGTAAGGTAGACCCTTCCGCATCTCCAATAACCTGCAAAAAATATATTTATCACGCACGGATTAATTCCGTTATATCAAGGATTTCTGTAATGAAACAAGCGATTTTTTGTATCACAAATCTTGCGAAATTCCCAACAGTAACCGATAATAAATTTAGAAAATATAAACTTGATAATAATTTTGTAAATTGTGCAACTAAGGGTTCATTTTAAGGGCCCTAATTAAGGCCCGCATTAGCTCCAATTTCTGCACTACTTATCCAATAAAGTCCTCACCTGAGTACGACCGAGTGGCCTCGATCAGCAAAGCAAACAGCACAATCCTGACTATCATTTTGACCTCTTAATCTCATTAAAATCGATCAAAATATCCTTTTACAGCGCTCGTTAATGAATATTTCTCTAAAAAATCGAAAGATACGCCGTATTTTATCGCACAGGAAGCACTGACAAGTTACTGGTGCGTATGAAATGCTTCATTTCTTAATCCCCACTATATCTCAAATGCAGAGTATGATAATTGTACGAGGGGGATACGAATTGTTTTGTTATGGTCTGTTGATTAAAGAATTTATAAGGAATTAATCGAGTGTTTTATTTACTGTATGTTGGTGTGAATAAAACGAGAAATAATATGTGTAATTATTTTTTTAATGCTAATATACAAAGAAGATTTGTACAGGGAATAAGGTAACCTACTGACTATGAGAGAATCTGTACAATTGAGGTAGAACAAAAATCAGTCCTTCAGCGATTAGATTTCTTTAAGCGTATAAATTGGGAATAATTGAAACCAAGGTAATTTTTCTTAATAAAAATAACAAAAAAATATTTTCTAAGCGCTTAAACAAAACGATAAATTTGACCAAAGGAATGAAACATTTTTAGTAATTCATCAACTCATCCGGAAAAAAATAAAATAGTGCACCAATTAAAATTAACGACCATCCTTATTTTGTAAAATTACCTACAACAGAAACAATAAATACGAAATATTTCGCTACAATTCATAAATAATAAATATACTCGTTAAAAAATATTACGTGCTAAATTTAACTAATACTTAGTACGATAAATTCGCTCTCCTTTATTTACAATAACTGATTATGTACAAAACACCGACTCTTTCAAACCTTCCAACTCAAACTCAAAAATTTTACCGTCCCACATCCGTTATTATCTCGTAAAAACGCATTCTAGATACGTAAAGCTGGTTTTAAATCGACTCCAAAAATCCAATCCAGTTGAATTCGACGTTTTACCGTCCCATTAACTCGTTTGCTGCGTCAGCAAATTCAACAAATCGGCGTGATCCATGTTGTTCAACGTCTGCAAATCAATACCCAAAGCATCGGCCACGCTGTTCATGTCCAATCCGAAGGACTTCAACAGCTCGATAAAGTCCATTTCCTCACCCGTAAAGGGGTTGTGCAACCTGGGGCAGGAGTGGTTGCACTGCGGCCAGGAGCACCTCTCCAGCCTCCTGTGAACGCACCGCCTCTTCCTCGACCTTCTGGGCTTCTGGTGAACACTTCTCGACACTTTGTGTTTCCTCGGTCGAACTAAAACCAGTAGAAATTTGTAGTAAACTTCGATCACAAACAGTTCGTTTACTCACTTTTATTCTTCTGTATCTTCCTGTTCCTCCTCTTCCTCTTCGCCTTGGCCACACCGTCGCCGTTGAATGAGTAGTTCCTCTTCCGCTTCGCTCCGTTTTTGAGCCTCTTGGACCGCCTTCTGGCGGTCTTCAGCTCCCAGCAGTGAATGGCTTCGCCTACCGATACATCGTCGATCTTCACCGTCTGCCAATCTCGCTTGGTGAGCATGGAATGGGAGATGCAAGAGGGGGCGAACACCGCCGAGACGTTCTCGAAGCTGTGCCGCAGGGAATCCCCCATTTTGTGGATGTAGTCCCATTGTTGCTTGGTCACCGGGGCGCCTACGTTGTCGACGTCCATTTGGGCCTCGTCGAACAGCCATTGGACCACGAATAGTTCAGCTAATGCAAACCAAATTAGTAACGCATCGAGTACTTTAATTGTATTGTGGTTTACATTTCAACGTGGGGTACAATCTGTAGCCGAAGTAGCACCTCCACGGTTCGTTGGAGTACTCTTCTCTGCACCTCCTGGGTACCTTCCCTCGCCACATCTCCATGCCTTTCCGGATGGCTTCGACGGCTGGTTTGGTCGTCGGGGCGTACGGTGTTCTATCCAGGAACCATCCAGAATCCGTTACTCCTCTGACGTTTATCTGGGTTAGCTCCAGCTCGTCGTGCAACAACTCCTTCACGTAGTCCAAGTTCAGCATGACTCCCGTGCCTCCTGCGCTGCTACCTGGAGCGAAAGAGATTTGTAATGAAGTCCAGGAAGATAGAAAAGTTTATTTACTGACCTGTTAGTAGCAAATCGGTGCTGTTTTCCAGACCTAGAGGTATCACGTCCCTGATCACTTGTCTGATGACGAAGGAGCCCATGAAGCTGAACATGTCTCGAGGTGAAGGGGGTTTGGTGCCGCTCCAGGAGTCGCTGGTGCAGTAGGGGATGAAGACGTGGTTGGCGTTGAACCAGAAGGGGTTTTCCTTGGGGTTGGGAGAGAGGATTCCGCCCACTGGAAAATTTGTATTGTGAAAATTTTAACCTATTTTTTATTTACTCAATTTGCAACCTTGAAGCTGCATAAAATTGAATATAGCTGAGGTAGAGACGTGAAATTTTCACCAGGCATAGCCTTATATCTTATCTTGGCGTTCTGAAAGTAGCAATATCCTAGCTCAACTGCAAGGGGTCGAAACATCCCTTAGAATGAAGCATACCGAAAATATCGTAGAATCCACTTTGTTTCAAAATAACTCAAAAACCAAAAGGAATATTTAAAATCTGTTTCAACCAGTATAAAGTACACTCAATTGTCCAACTTTTACCCCATATAAGCTTTCCCCTACCTCTTATAGTTTCCAAGATATTAACCCTTATCTTGCCTTATACAATACTAACCATCTCTAGTCTCCGGCCATTTTGAGGAAGTCATGTAATGGCGCTGCTTTAACCATCTGTTTCTACAGCTATGTGCGTCATAACAGTACCATCCCCCTTCCAGGAATATTATCCATTTAGTACTGGAGTGTGAACGTCTCAAATAAAACCTAAACAGTAAATATTTCTATCAAAAAATATTCTACTCCAAAGCAAGTATGTATACTATTATCTTATGTATCTAACACTATCTTAAACTCTATCTAATTTTATCTTACCCGGCTTGAGAACCATCATTGCAGGTTATAGATCTATTGGAGAGGAAAACTTTCTTCAGGGCTTTAGCGGAGCTTTCCTGCGTTTGATTGTGTCCTGAGCTTTCGAATCTTTGAATAATATTGGTGGAAATGGGTTGGTCTCCATGGCTACTGCGAAAAGCCATGCATATGCTGAACCACAAAGAAACCATCTGGAAAATAAAAAACAGGCCTTTTACGTATCGGCAAACGAATCACGTATCGAATTAAATTTCGAAATTAAATAAATCGTCGCCCCTTTTGAAATAGTCTTTCCGGCCGGCTATGGAGCGGCAAAAGAACCGACAGTAGCAGATAATAAGAGGCTCTGTGAGCCTTTGATCTCGCCGCGAGAGCACCTACACTGTTTTTAAATTAAATTACTCATTTTATATTTCGAGTTGCTCGATAGCGCATTCTAACTTTAGAAACTCGATTATGATGCTCCTTATAAATCCTTGCTCAATAATGTACGTAGAAAAATCGAAATGGAAATGCTGTGTTTCTTTTATTAGGTAGAAAAATGGTTCTTTGCGGTTATAAGATAACGAAAAATTTTCGAAAAGCGAGGGGAAAATTAATTTTAGTGGTAGTCTATTAAAAATGCCATTATCTCGAAAATTAAATGTCGCAAAAATACTGGGTTTATTTTATTGTATAGAAAAAACGCTTCTCTATAATTTTTGAAATATGAAAAAATTTCCAAAAACTAGTATTTTTCGAGATATTTCGTGCTTTTGGTGAGATTGCATCTAAATACTAATTTTAGTGCTATTTCGTTAAAACCCCCAATTATCCCGAAAACTAATCGAGATAAAAATATAATTTTTGTTTCATTCGGTAGAACAAACTTTTCTCAACAATTTTCGAAGAATAAATTTTTCTCCAAAATCCATTACTTTTCGAGTTATATCGATTTTTTATTCAGATCGCATCTATTTCTGTAGCACGTTTGAAGCAGTCAAAACAATTAAAAGAAATAACCGAGGCGGGCGCGAAATACCGCAGAATCCGGTCCTGCGTTCGCCGCCTTTGATCCGACCAGTTCCTTTCAAATACTTCATTTATAAGGAGATATTTCAAGTATTCAAATCAGCCGGGCGGCTCGTGATATTATGATAAAATTAAGAGCGAGCTCGAAAGAGCGGGGAGATCTCGCATGCCGATCGGCCGAATACAAAATACAAAAAGGGCCCGAGAAGAACGAGAGATGACAATCGTAAAACGTAATGACATTCAAATTTTTCACCAGCGACAGGTCGTACAGTGTACAAAAAAATTTATATTTGTGATGGTTAAGGGGATTTTATGGCGATTCGATGAACAGTCGGAATTATCTCGAAAAGCGATCGAGATGGAAATGTTGAGTTTGTTTTATTTTGTAGTTTTTCTACAATTTTTTGGGTATGAAAAATTTTCTAAAATCGAATAGTTTTGGAGATACATATTTCGAGTTTTTGCGAAGATTGCATTGAAAAAATAATGTTACGTTATAAAATGCAATTATCTCGAAAACTAACCGAGATAAAAACACTCGGTTTGTTTTATTTTATAGAACAAAGGTTACTCTACAATTTTTGAATAATCGAAAATTTTCGAAAACCGCTTAATTTTCGAGCTATTTCAAATTTTTATGACTCATATCGAATCTACTCCTATTTTTTAGTTTCCAAAAACCCCATTCCTATAACTCCAAGTCTATAAGAAAATAAATCAATTTAGGATAAATTTATCCAAGGATATTCGTCCTTGTTATTCGCAAAAGTTGAGGCGGCCCCTTTGTGGCCGCCACATTACCGCAGGTATTTCGAAAATTTATCGACAATTAAGATATTCTTATTGCATAACTGGCATTTTTATTGTACCGTGGATTCCCCGAAAACGATAATTAAACGCTAACCAGCGATTTATTGGTCAGTTATGTTTCAAAAAGAAAAATAAAACAAAGCCGTTTTTTGCCAGTACTTATTAAAAATTCTAACAAGTCGCAATCGGTGAAAAATTCCTATTTTTGTCTTATTTTCCGAAAACCGCCTGTTAATTACCTCTCAAAATAACCTCTCGTAATTCCTTTATTTGTACGATCTTCTCGGAAACCCCTCGAAAAGGGGGTTATTTCCACCCTAAGTCCACTAGAAAACCACACAAAACCAGACCGAATTATTTACTTTACTATTTAGAACACAAAAAAAAATTCCTAAAATTTTTAACTTTAAAATGCAATTTCACGAATTGTGTTTCCCTTATTGTCTATAAAAATAAACGCATAAAAAAATAAATATATGAAATGCATTATGATGAACAAATAAGTCGTAAATATTTATACGGCCTATTATAAATATTAAATAATATGTTTTATGGGGGTAATAGGTATCATTTAGTTATGGAAAACAAAGCGATAAAATGCATCAAGTTATTGTGAAAATATTAACAAATAATAGTAGAATCGGAGTAGAATCAGAACAGATATAGCACCAGAATAAAGATATAAATAATGAATTTATTAGTATCCGAAATCGCACCGAGCAGGAGTAGGTACACCTGTTTTATACCTGAGGCGCAATTTTCACCTGTTTGGGATCATTGCGTATTCTCCTCTACTTCTTCTTCTTCTTCTTCATTCGTTATGTTATTTACTGCTCTTCCATAGAACATCTATTCAGAAACTCTATTCATGCCGGATTCCCTTGAAAATGCCGCTGCACTATACAAGGAATCGCACGAACATTGGCGGCGAACGAAACATTTTTTTTACAAAAATCAACCGGTAAATTAATTTTTTTCCATACCTAATTCATTGAATTATTCTGTTCTATTTTACTTGTGTTGTGAATATATTGAGAATACAATTTTTATCATAGTGTAGAAGAGTGTAGAAGAGTGTAGAAGAGCGTAGAAGAGTGTAGAAATGTGTAGAAAAGTGTAGAATGGTGTAGAATAGTGTAAAAATAGTGCAGAATAGTGTAAAAATAGTGCAGAAGTGTGTAGAATGGTGTAGAAGTGTGTAGAATGTTGTAGAATAGTGAAGATTGGTGTAAAATAGTGCATTATTCTATAAATTCTATAATACATTTTTTGCACAAAAACTTAAAAAAATAAAATTCAATTTTTTAAGGAGATTTACTCAAAATCAAATCGAATTAGTAACGTGTATAAGTGAAATAAAACGTGTACCGCTGGTGGAATAGCGTCGGCATTTCGTGGATTCAACGCTGGCTGGTCCTTTGATGGATTAGTAGAAAAGAATAAAGGAAGAAAGGAAGAAAGAATGGAGGAACAAAAAAAAATAAAGAAAAAAGCGGCCGCTCGGTATGCGCATTTGCGCCGGGTGTTGAATTTTGCGCTGGATTATGACGGTCATTTTGTTCCGACACGGCTTTATTAATGAGCTGGAACGCATTGCCGTAGGGGTTGGGGGGCCCGGGGGGGTTCAATCCCCTTAGGGGGATTCCCCAAGAGATTTTCTGTTGAGTGTTTTTATAGTGAAATAAATGGATGGTGTTGTGACAAAGATTGTGGGGAATATTGTAGATTTTAGTTCGTAATTGGGGAAAAATTGGGTGTAAAAAAGAGTAAAATTAGTAGAAAAATGGTTAGGGATGCAGTGAAGAATATAGCAATAAAAATAGGTTGATTAAATATTGTCAAACAATCGACTTAATAGAGCTCAAAAATCGACCAAAATCACCGCAAAAAACCGCTCAAAAACCACCCCCGCACGCAACCCTCCGATCACCCACTTCCCCGTCGGTACCAAGATAGTACCAACGAAGAGTACCACACGAAGAGAGCGCCGAGAAATCACCCAACAGGCCCGCGAGATCCCCATTACGGGCGGCATTACTTTGTAGCGTGGAGTAATAAGGGGGCCCCGGCCGGCCGTGTCGCGCTAATTGCGAGATCAAACGGCGCGCCACGATGGTAATGAGAGCGCGAGTAACGACGCGCCCCCCGGCCCCCCGGCCGCCGGTCGTGCCCCCCTCGGCCCGCGGGCCCCCCGGCCGCCCGAGCGGCTCTCAATTACGGATTAACGAAGGCGCTCGGACGGGCTTCTTCGAGATGGTGCGTGCGCCTGGTCAGGTTGATGTGGTTGAGGGGGTTGGGGGAAAATTGGGGAGGAATGAGTTGTGGAGATTTTGTGGAAATGGGGGTGGATTTTGGTTGAATTTGATGGGTTAAAATTGGGAAAGTGTTGAGGTTAAATAGGAGAGATTTTTGGTTACACATTGGGTGAAAACGGAGAATGAAAATTGGGCAAAAATTGAGTAAATATACTGTGAGAACGGAGTAAAAATAGCTCAGATTTTGGTTAAAAGTGGAGCAAAATTTGGGTGAGAACGGTGTATATACAGATGGAGAAAAACTAGATATTTATGATTTTGGAAGAATGGGGCAATAATTGAGTTAAAATGGAGTAAAAATACAGTAAAATTTTGTGTAAAAAGGGCTTCTCGTTTTGATTCAAAATTGGGCGAAAATAGGGTGTAAAATTTAAATAAAATCGCAGTAAAAATTGATTGAAAATAGAGTAAAAACAGATTTGAAATAGAGTAAAAATAGAATAGATTTTATTGCAAAAAATGGGACAAAATTTAACAAATAAAACCCTAAAATTGGAACAAGATCACAGAACAAAAATACAGTAACAGTTTCTACCCCTATTTAATACCCTAATTTAACAACAATTCCTAGTGACTAAAATTTCAAGTGTTTAAAGCGCTCGAAGGAGCCCGAAGAGAGAAAAAAATTATACCATCCTTATACGGCAGTATTTACACTGGTAAGCAGTAGGTGCCCTGACAAGTTTGCTTTGCTACTTGTAAGTACTTAACGTACATCGTTTATCGGGCAAATAAGCCTTCGGTAAATACCGCGTGTTCTATACTTAGGAGGCGGTGACTTCAAAGAGATCGGATTAATTATTGGAGAATTATTAATTATGTGAAAATCGAGGAGGGGGAAGAGAGTTTTGTTGTGGAATTTTAGGCATTTTTGGTTTTTCGTCAGTTTTGTGTAGTTTTGGAATTTTAGTCACTTTTGGTGATTTTTTGGATTTTTTTGGATTAGTCAAATTTATTTATTTTTGAATTCTTAGTCAGTTGGGTGTTTTTTTTTATGGTTTTCTAGTCATTTGTGGTAATTTGTGGATTTAAAAAAATAAAAATAGTACCTATAAGGTAAAAGACTATATGGCAAATGTAAGAATGGGGTAAATGTAATATTTTTACCTATTATGTTAATGTTTTTATTATTTTTATAGTTCTTTTGTGCATTAGACAGGGTTTCTTTCTTATTTTATAGCTCTGTTATTTTTTGAAATAAATAAATAAACAGTAATAATTGTATTGCACTTTAGAATATTGTCAACGTTTTAAAAAATATGTAAAATCGTTTTCTTCCTTTTTCAAAAAAAACTTTTTAAGCATTTCTAATAAGAGAAAAAATAATGCCACATTTTAGGATTTAATTTGAACTATTCAAATTTTACAACCGATTTGTCCCAGTCTACCTTAATATACAGTTACAATGGAGTAAAAATAAGAAAATAACGGGGCTAAAGTTGTTGAAAAATGGTCAAAATATAGTAAAAATTTTATAGTTATGGATTAAAAAATATGTAAAACTTGAGTAAAAAAGGGTTGAACTAAAATAAAGAAAAGGGGTTAAAAATAGAATAAAAATAGAGCCAAACTAGTACTTAAAATAGAAACAAATTAGTAGTTTACAAAATGACAAAAATTAAGTAAATTAAGATAGCAAAAATAATCTTAATTATACGAAGTATCTCTCTATCAAACCCCTTTTCCTACATTGCAAAAATTTCCCCAACATTTTCCGACACCCAAACCGAACCAATAACAATCAAAAAAATCGCTCATACCTGCGCGAAAATCCGCATCGTCAAACCCCGCAGAACGCGTTCCGAAATTTCCAAAATAATTTCCGCGACGAAATCGAACCGGAACCCAACGCACCTGAACCAGCCGAAATCCGGTGAGAGCGCGCCGCGTTCGATCTCCGGTCTCCGACTAAATTCACTTCACACAAACGCGGAACGCACGGATCGGCCTCGAAGGACTCGAGACTGCTACTCTATAGATGGGCTATGGGCTATGGGGAGCTTATGGGCACCGCGGCGGGCCGGGCTCGAAGGTAAATCACTGCCCCGCTCCAGCCCTAACGAGGGGGCTCGGGGTTGGCTGGCCCCCCTCGCCCCCTTGTCGGGTACTTGAGGAGTCTAATGAGGAGTATAAGGAGTGGATAGGCGTGTTTGGTGTAGGAGGGATGAGGTGAGAAATATTGTTTTAATTATTAGATATGATTTGGTGGGGTTATTGAGGGGGTTTTATATAGTTTTAGGTTTAAAATGTCCCAAAATTGCTGTATCGAGGATGTTTTAGTCATTTTATTTATGTTTGGATTTTTAGTCAGTTTTGGTGATTTTTTTTTGGTTTTTAGTCATTTTTGGGCATTTTTGGATTTTTAGTCGCTATTGGTTATTTTCGGATTTTTAGTCACTTTGTGATTTTTTTTTAAAAGTCACTCTTGGTGAAATTTTGAGTTGATTTTTTAATGATAAAAAAGTGCTCTTTTTTAATAGATTTTTCACTCTGTTTTGCATTATTTTGACACTTTTTTTACTCTATTTTGTTTGATTATTATTTCCTATTTGATTTGACCCTATTTGGTGTTTTTGTTCAGTTATTGATCTATTATCGAACCATTTTTTACTCTGTTTTTAGTGTTTTTACTCCATTTTTTTCTTTGTTTTTACGCTTTTTTTGATCAATTCGACTCTATTTTAGTACATTACTTATATTATTTTATTTGGTTCTTTTTAATATACATATTTATATTAGATTTTTACTGTGTTTTTGTTCGATTTTTGATCGATTTTTCGATTTAATTTGACTCGATTTTTACTTTATTTCCACTCACAAACAAAAAATAATTATTAATGCATTTTTTTCATTCCCTATAATGCACAACTTTATTTATTGCCTTTTTATTCGCAATCTCGAATAAGAATCCGCGCTTCTTTTATTTTTGAAAAAAGTCGTCGTTAAAAACCTTATCAAGAAAGGTGCAATATAGTTACGATTTTCCACTATTTATTCGACGATTTCGATAACACTAAACACGCATAATAACCATAAAAATCATTCATTTCAAGCGTTTCTCGAGAAACCGGCGAAATTAAGAAGACATTAAGGGTGAAATACTGTTAATAAAACGCCCGTAATTTTTAGTTTTTCCCGCTGTTTTATGCCCCGTCGGAGTTGCATCTAAACCTATTCGAATTAACGGCCATTAAAAACCTTCTCCAAAAACCATAAAACCATGAATTATGTTTAGAAGTTACCGGTGAGATATTTTCGAAATAAAAAAAATGATTTACACCAAATTTGCAATTCGTTTTCTGTAAAAAATTCAGAAAAAAAATGTAGTAAGGAGTAAAAGGAGTAAAAATAACCAAAAATAACATCAACAATCTGGTAAAAATAGATCAAAAATCGGGGAAAAGTGGATCAAAAGTTGATCAAAAATTGGTCAAAATATAGATCAAAAATTGAACAATTGAGCAATTAAAGGAAAATTGATTAAAAAACATGAAGAAATTGCTGGATATTTGAACAAAAATTAACTCAAAATCAAGTGAAAATTGATCAAAAAACGAGTGAATATCGAACAAAAACGGAACAAAAGCAGGCTAAAATACAAGATAATAATTAATTAAAAAACGAGTAAAAATGGATCAAAAATTGAGCAAAAATACCTAAAAAATTGAGCTAAAATAGATAAAAATTGGACAAAAGTATTAGATAAAAATCGCGAAAATATAGTTAAAAACAAGTAAATATAAATTTACAAAAATGAAACAAATATACATCAAAAATTGAGAACAATAGTCACACAAAAAAACTTACAAATAGACCAAAAACGTCTAAAAATCCACCAAAACTAACCCAAAACCCGTCCAAAAAATACACCAAAAATACACAATTAACGGCCATTAAAAACTTTCTCCTAAAACCATAAAACCATTAATAATGTTTAGAAGTTACCAGTGAGATATTTTCGAAATAATAAAAAAAGGATTACACCAAATTTTCGATTTCTGCAAAAAATCGAGCAAAAAAATCTGGTAAAAACAGATCAAAAATCGGGGAAACTTATGACCAGAAGACTAGAAGATTGGAAGACTAGAAGACTAGAAGACTAGAAGACTAGAAGACTAGAAGACTAGAAGACTAGAAGACTAGAAGACTAGAAGACTAGAAGACTAGAAGACTAGAAGACTAGAAGACTAGAAGACTAGAAGACTAGAAGACTAGAAGACTAGAAGACTAGAAGACTAGAAGACTAGAAGACTAGAAGACTAGAAGACTAGAAGACTAGAAGACTAGAAGACTAGAAGACTAGAAGACTAGAGGACTAGAAGATTAGAAGACTAGAAGACTAGAAGACTAG